TGGGACTTGGAGGTTAGGAGGACAAGGACTCTCCTGGGGTCCCAACTACTTCTGCGCCTACTTACAACAATCCTCCCTTGCTGGCTCATTTGTATACACCAAAACTTCTAGGAAATCCTGAGGCTCTTCAAATTGTCTCGAATTCTAAATGGGAATGTTCTCTTTCCTGTTACCGGTCCCTAATCCGGCAGGGTGTCAAGAAGACGTCCACTGAACACCCTTGCGCACCGCCCAGCCCTGGCAAAAGGCACAACACTGTGCCCGCACACGCGCAGCATATGCCTCCTGATTCCGCGTGCTCGGCTGTAATTATCTGCGCGCTTTGCATAAATCACAATGCAGTTCTGAAATCATCGTGATGACTTTCTGGCATGATTGGTTAGGTGGTAACGGCGGCAACAAGCTCCAGTGTAGGCAGGAGGGGCTGCGGCCCAAGGCGCCTACCAGGTCCCAAAGAAGTCTAGAGCTTAGTGCCGGCTGGCTTCTGCTGAGCTGTAGGCCCAGGGACCGCAGATCTAAAGAGTAGAAACTTGGAGCTCTCATGGGCGCAGCACAGAGAAGAAAGCCTCTGCAGGGCAAAGACCAGGACTTTTCATCTTGTCCACAGCCCCAGCATGCTACTGGATTCAGACCAGGTGCTGCATAAATGCTGGGAGGAATGAAGGAGAAAAATCCCGTGCAGCTTCCCCCAGAGGCCAGTGGAGGTAGAGCCTGTCCCAACAAGCTGTGTAACTCTGGGCAAGTGACTAGACTCTCTGAGATCCAGACTGTCGATTTGTGAAAGGATTGTGGCCCTCTTCAACCCTAACTTTCAAAGATTTTATTCCTGTGAGTCTACTCAGGGAAATGATTGATAAGGAGGAAATGCCATCTATCTGGGAAATACCTTTGAACAGAGTCAAGACCTTAGGTTACCAGGATAAGTTTACCGCTTTGAATGAATGAAAAGTCACACCCTAGATGTTCTGAGACCCTTCTAACCAGGTCCAAACACAGCCCTTAACTTCTTTCTAGTCTCTCTAGTGTTCATGGAGCTCTCACAAAACCAAAGCCTAAAACAGAAGGAAATATCTTTTATTAAAGGTTATTTACTTTTAGTCCATGAGATAAGAAATAAGACAATGAGAAGGCCCATGAGATCAAGGGGTCTTTCTGTCCTTACACCATTCCACCCATTCATCAAGTACTAGCACCCTATGTGCCAGACCCCGGGGATGTAGGAGACCCCTTTCTCCTGGAAAGGGGTCTACACACATGGGGAGCAGACACATAAAAGGCAAGAAGTGCTTTAGGGAAAACCTAAGTGTTTATGAGGACAACCATAGGAAATTCTGGAAAAATATGAAAGGGACCCTAAACTAGTGTGCAGTGGGGTGGGCTGTCAAGAGAATGCCCTGGAAAGCTGGCCTTGTCTCTGACCAGGGGAAACCTTCTATTTCTGAGAACTATCTTTTATTACAGCTCATTCTTTTGCTAGTGCCCCTTCCCAATAGTTAAAAACAAAAAACAAAAACCGGAGTCCTGTTAACTAGGTAGTATGAGAGAGGCAGAGGTAGAGAGAGCACTACTCTCATTATCAGACTATCTGGGCTTGACTGCTAGCTCTGCCATTCCCTGGCTTCTCCTAAAATGATGACATTTTCTCCATTAATTGCCCTCCTTCTTCTGAATTAAAGGAGAAAGGAAAAGCTTTCCTGTCAGCAAGCAGAACTGATGAAGCTGTTATCACGCAGACACCTTCTCCCAAAAGTGATTAGTCCCCTCTCAGAAACTGTTCTAGCTCTAGAGCGTCATTCCTTTAAAACACTTTTCACTTCACTGACAACCGGAGTTAAGGATTCTCAGGATCAGGAAAAACCCACCAGTTGTGCTTGGCTGAGTTTTGATGTTCAGAATCCAAAAGACACTCTAACACAAGCTTTTGCTTGTTTGGTTTGTTTATGGCAGCGGTTTTCAACCTGTGGGCCCTGAACCACAGGAACTGTATTATTGTTATTATTTTGGGAGTCAGAGCCTCAAGCTGTCGCCCAGAGTACAGTGCTGTGACATCACAGCTCACAGCAACCTCCAACTCCTGGGCTTAAGCGATTCTCTTGTCTCAGCCTCCCAAGTAGCTGGGACTACAGGCACTCACCACAATGCCCAGCTATTTTTTGTTGCTGTTCTCATTGTTGTTTGGCAGGCCTGGGCTAGATTTGAACCCACCAGTTCTGGTGTATGTGGCTGGCGCCTTAGCTGCTTGAGCTATAGGCGCCAAGCCAGGAACTGTATTCAAGGGCCGCATCATTAGGAAGGTTGAGAACCACTGGTTTATGTGAAGGAAAAAGTGGGTTTTCATTTTCTTCGAAGTCATAATTCATCTGAAGCCTGTTGCTTACCCAATGAATGGTGAGTGAAAGAGAATGGGGGTCATGGAGCAGAGTGTCTAGCACATAGTAGGTGCCCAGTAAAGGCTTGCTAAGTGCCAGGATAAAAGAAATAGTATTGTCAGGCTTGCTCCTGACTCTGCTGTTGGATCTCTCTACAAGTTGTTTGGTACCTATCCAACTCTACTCAGAAAAGAAACACCAAAAACAATCCAGAAAGAGACCCAGTTGCTCTAGAACCCAATGGGTGCTGAGTTACAGAATTGTTCCTTGATGCTTTCCAGAACTGTATTGCTAAGCCTAGTCTGTCACTTGCCACTAGAATGAGGATAAATACTGCTGACAGCAACAGCAGTGCGATAATGCTTTCTGTGAGAGGTTCCTTCCCCCGCCCCCTTAGCAAATAACAAAATTATGTCTCTCTGTATTTATTCACACACTTGCTTGAACAGAAGAAATTCAGTCGTAGGGTCAGGCTGAGAATTAGAGGCTTCTAGAGTTCCATTGTATCTTGATAGACTTCTGGCCCTAAAAATAATCAAATAGAAACATCTTTAAAAAGTCTCTTGCACTCTGGCACATAGAGGTGCTTTATAAATGTGGAATGTATGCATGAGCCTGCCTGATGGTGTTCACGACGAAAGCTGAAGCTTGAGAGCAGGGGCTCGACCTTTGCTCAGGCCCAGCAATGGCGTCCAAAGGGAAAAGGAACAGGTCCTCTGATCTCCAAATATTGGGAAGCAATGTAGGTCATTTTTGGCTTTCTAAAACCAAGGAATAACTGGAGAAACAAGAAGCTTTCTTCAGCCTTTCAATTTTC